ACACCAAGAATAATAAAACAAATTAAACACAATACCGTAACATCCTCGCCTCAAGAGTTGACTCAAAAGCACCACACATTTTTCACAACCTTCTCATTTACTATAACATAGAGGTCAACTACATTACCTTTACTTCGTGAATTATGTGCCCTCACACAATAATAGAGAGTAGTTACACACATAATAAAGTTTATAACAATTAGGAACTCAGGATAGAAAGAATTCACTCTCTCTCAGAAGTGACATTCATGTGACAAAAGACATACCATAAGCTTGTCTGTAATGTACTACTCTACTAATTGAGGTCATTCAGTCAAGGATCAAGTAGGACTTAACTTGGTTGTGATGTAGGCTGCGAGACGGGTAGGATATATTTAGATATAAGAGTGACTACAACTCCTTAAGCACTTTAATACGTACAATTTAACATTCAAAACTCCACACTTATGTCAAACCATGACTCCACCTTCACCTCAATATATATTAACTCCTACTTCTTTAAGCACAATTACATCAAGAGTTGCCACTTAACAAGAAATATTTTTCACACCAATATACTATATTCTTTTTTCTTTTTTTTTCTTTTCAATTCAGGCGGCTCTTACTTTTTCAAAACATTGCACATTTCTCCTTACTTCAATAGTTTTACTGAAAAACCAAACCAACCACCCCACACTTAAACTTTTAAAAAGTTCATAACAATTTAAGTGCTCACGAGAGGTACAAAGTTCAATAGATAGTCAATTCAAACAAATGGGTAAGGCTTGTAATGTGGTTGCCAAAGAAACGAGACTACAGGCTCAAAGGAGTTAACTAAGATACATAGCAATTAGGTGGGTAATAGCATATATGTGGCTTAACAAACAAATGACTATATCTCTTCCAAGACTGAACAAAACTACTATTTCGCTTTGCAAACACACTAGGCAAGTTCTAGACATCAAAAACACTACACTGAATAACACCAAACCTCACACACAAATGGCACATAACTCACTCAAGATCGGACTCATCAAGACACTCTAGTCAAAGTAGTTAAGCAAGTCAAGATCATACAATTTAAGGTACTTATACAAGAGTCAAAAACTTAGCCTAAGCGTCACAATTAAAGCACTTACTATTCTCAAGGCATAATACAGTCAAGGGATATTGCTTACATTTCAAATCACAACACAAGGTTTCCTGCTCCAAAAAAAATTAAAACTAACTACACCCGGTTCAAACAAAACCCTTGGAAAAAAACCAAGGGTTGTCAAAATTGTCAAAATGCCAATCAGATGATGAAGAATTTTAACTTTGAACTGAGTTTAAACCCTTTTTCCACTATTAGATCATTTAACAGACAATTATACGTTTTCATCAGAGGAGCATCCTTTGCATTTTGATATCTTTAGTTTTGTGTCACATGATTTATCCTAATTAAAAAGTCAGCACATACGCAAATTACAGCTAGTTGTGGCTTCGTGTGGATTGCGGATTGCGTTTCTCCAATTGCGAAACCTTTCGTATGGACATATAGTGCGTACACAATTTGGTTGACTTCAACTTCAGATATTCTAAACATAAACAACTTTTTAGTGACTTGTTTCTTCAGTTTCAATTTCATAGAAAAAGAAAATCTTATCCTTAAGGATAACTTTCATATTAACTGCAACACTAAGCTATAGCTTACAAGTTGACTTGACTTGACCTCAACTTGCCCTCTTTCTCTTTTCACGTGTACATTTGTCTTGGGGTAGAATGATAAGATATGGACATTAGGCCTAACTCAACCTCAAAAGCTAGCTTATGAGGTGAGGATTGTTCAAGCCATATAAGGAGACCAAGTCCCCCATCCCTTAGCCGATGTGGGAGACTCAACGTGGACAATATAATATGGGGGCCCAACATCGGTGAAATAATTGGGACGGGTTCGGCTCTGATACCATGATAAGATATGGACATTGGGCCTAACTCAACCCTAAAAGCTAGCTCATGAGATGAGGATTACCCAAGCCATATAAGGAGACCAAGTCCCCCATCCCTTAGTCGATGTGGGAGACTCAACATAGAAAAGTACCTTATTCAAATGAATGCGTTATCATTTTAGAGGGGTATGCAGAGAAAACTACGAATTGCACCAAATAGATAATTCGTATTAAATCGGAAAAAAAAAATTTGAGTAGCGGTTTGATTTAATTTGGAATGATATTAAAAAAATCGGCCATAATTAGTTTGTTTTGACTAAAAAGAAAAAGGCAAACTGAAACCAAACCAACCCCACATCACATGTATACAATTTTTAAAAGTATTATATATAAAAAATTATTTATTGTAGTTTAATTTTTAAATATTTTTTAAACTTCTTCATAGTTTTTCTCTTTAAACATATTATTTCAAGCTAGGACCTAGAATTTTTGAACGGTCCAATAAGTTTTATAGATCATAGATGTTAATAACTTAAATAAAGCCCAAAGCAAAACTTAATCAATAATAATTAATGCTAACAAAAAAAATTAGTTTAACAATAGGAATGAAAGTAGTGTTGGATATATATATTTTTTAGTTTTGCATTGGTTTAGACAGTAAAATGCATTACTTAGTTCTATTTTTCTTTAATGTTTAGTCATGTACTTAATACTTATTTTAGCGTGTTTAGTACTTTTATATTATGTTTATTTTTATTATGGCTTATTGATTAGCAATATCTATTTTTATGTCATTTCATTTTCTTTATCGTTATTTTAGTACAATGTCATGACTCATTTCACATTTTGTGTTATTTTCTTAGGAAACACCTTATATAGTTGTATCTTACTAGGATTAAAGAAATATTTGAAGCACAAATTATATGTTTGGGTTATGAAGGTTTTACTGCAAAATTACCTTGAAAAATCGAGATTGAAAAACTTGACTTTTGTTAGTTTGGTTTGTTTTATAGATAATGTAACACAATTGGTTTGGTACATGAGCGGCGATGGATCATCTCGAGTTACTGGTTCCTCAAATAATAGGAAACAAGAAGATGGAAGTCCAACCCTGTCATCAGACAGAGATGTTGGATGTGATGAAAGTGCAATACTAAAAGTTATGGTGAGTTTTGTTCTGGTTTACAAGCTTGGCTCTAACTCTAACCTTGTTATTGCATCTCGATGAACCTGTTGTAGAAGACTATGTTGTTGATGTTATTTTACTGATGCGTATCTCCCCCTGTCGCCGTGTGCTGCTTGAATCAGCAAATTATGTTAATTTTCTAGGTGTTCTCATCACGTGCCATTTTAGCAGGTTTTCGGTGCAACTGTTACTTATTTATGAATATTTGGTGCAGGAATTTCTGGCATTGCCCAGAGCAGATGCAATTCATCTCCTTGCACAATACAACGGTCATTCAGCAGATATTCGCGTAGTTCCTAGAATATAGTGGAACAGTGATATTCGTTTATTTGTTACGTTTATTTATTGTACCATAAATTCTTACCTGTGAGGCTTATTACTGGCTGAAAGGGGATGTAATAACTTATAAAAGCTAGGGGTGAAAAAGAAGGGGAAAGGGGATGTCTTTATATGTAACCTTTCCGCGTCAAGTTTGAAATTGGTTGATGAGAGGCACATAGGTTATGCGAAGTTCTCTGTAAATACCCGTCCATAAATGAGCTTAAACTCATGTGTCTGTCGCCATATTTACTTGGGCGGAGCAATCCAGGGGATCAAAAAGTTGAATCTCTTAGTGTTCCGACTAAATGCTCTAAATTACAGAATCTTATAGATGTACTTCTTTTTATTGTGCGTTTACTGTTGCAATATTGTTTGTACTTTGTATCTATATCAAGTTTAGTTATCTTTGCTTTTGGAGTTTAGTCACCAAAGAATGTGCTGAAGCGGATGGGGCTGCTTTTCTTTTAATCAGGGGTCTCGGATGCGAGTCGTGGATATAGAAAAATCCTTGGTAGGGAGCGCTTCCCCCTGAATGGGGTCCTACGCGGCGTGAATCCGGATATAATCGGGCTTCTATGTGGGAACCGGACACCGGACACCGGATGAAAAACCAAAAAAAAAAAAAGATTCGAGGAGAAGCATAGGTAATTAAAATTCAAGTAAACAAATGATGACACATGTATTTATAGGAAAGTTTTGCCATCTTGCAATATTGACCGATGTAGAATGATAACTAAGAGCCCGTTTGGATTAGCTGATTTTGAAGTAGTTGATAAGCATTAGGTGCTAAAAAGCACTTTTAAGTGTTAGAAACTGATTTAATAAATAAGCAATTATGTGTTTGGATACAAGTGCTGAGATTGATAATAAGCTGTTGCAGTATTTGATAAAAAAATGCTGATAAGCTCTTTTTCTGTTAAAATGACTTAAATAACCTTGGAACTGTTTACACCTATAAGGGCGTAATTTCTTCAAAATTTTAGATTCCAGATCGATTCAAATACAATTATTCTATTTGTCATTTTATTTTGAATACAACTGTGCTTAGATAAGATAACTTTTATGATAAATATAATTTATTTTATGAAAAGCATATAATCATAAGTTATAATAATTAATAAATTGACAAAAGTTTCTCAGCAAAAAATAAACCTAAATAGGACAAAATATTTGAAGAGAAACAAACTAACATTGTCTTCATCACCAAAACACTTAGAAAGCAATACACCAAAAATTTAATATGTCCTCGTTTATTACATATAATTCAAAGATTAATACACAATCAATGAGAATTTGCTTATCTTAAATAGTCAATGAGAATTGCAGACTTGGGGGGAGGTTGAAACAGTACTTGAGCAGTAAGTAACTAAGTATGGATGTAAGAGTTTTGTTCCAAAAAACGAATATTTTAAGGATAAAATAGTAAAAATCTTAGTCAAACTTAAAGTGCTTATAAGCTAAAAATTCAGCTGGGGTGACCAGCTTATGGCTTTTGGCTTATTTTTGACTTATAAGCACTTTTAACTTTATCAAACGCGTATATAAGCCGAAAAGTGCTTATAAGCTAGTTTAACGAACTTATAAGCTTAGCCGAACACCCTCTAAAACTTTAATTCCACCAACATATACAGGAACAATAGGAATGGTAAAGTAGGAACATCATTGAACTGAAATACATAAGATATTCACGCTGCAGACTCTAGCAATAAATAGGGTGACAACACAATGGCATCTAGACCAACCGGCTACTGGCATTGGACTCGCGGAATTTTCTCTCGTCCGACAGTATCTTCGCAAACCTGCAAGATTTTAAAACAAGACAAGAGGCACTAGTTAGTATTTGATCAGGAGTTCTTTCTTGTAAAGTTTGTGTGTGTGTGTGTATATTCAACCATTCAACTGTAAATGGCAGACATGAATCCATGTCCCTGCGCGTGTACCTCTGAAGAGCTTCCTTGTTGGTTCCTCCATTTTCAACTTCCTCATAAACTCCTTTGTCCAGGTTAATCTTTGAAACTGTCTTTTCCAGCAGAAGTTCTCCTACCTTGACGAGGCCTTGTAAGTTTTCCTTTGTGGCTATGTCAACTGAGGCCAAGTTCCCCGTCAAGTCGTCATCCTGGTATCACACAAATGTTGTATCAAGTAAAATTAAAGTTATGGTAGTCTCTTATACTAGTATATAGCAAATGGCAAGAAATTATAGCTGCTGATCAAAGTCAACCCAAAGGCTCGGGTTTACCTGGATACGAAGGTACTTATCGTCCGAGTGAAGAGCTTTGAAAACCACAAAGTTGTGAAAATCAACCATATCAGCACTTGCGTGATTAAAAGCATCTATGATTGGTGTAGAGTTGTCATTAAATAGCCAGCTAAGTAATCCCCACTTGGCAGCCTTTTGGGCATTGTATTTGTGCTCGTTCTTTGCATTGCCTGTGCCAAGTGATATTACCAGAAAACGACCATAATCCATTGGCTTGATAGGGAATAAGTCTACGTGCTGCAGCAATACTTGCTTGGTCACCTCACCAATTGCGACCAAAGTCTAAATTCATCACATACATCAACAAAAGAGTCAATTACTATCAAATTGTCTACTCTCAATACCGATCCAAGAATTTTATTTACTATCCTATATACTTACTGGGTTATTAGCAGCCACACCACCATCAATTAAGTTGAATTCCCGTTCATTATTATCAGCATCCTTGTTCTTGAAACTATGGGCAGGTAGAAAAGTTGGCGCTGCCGAGGTACTAATGCAAATGTCCGCCAGTTCTGCATCCAAATCAGGTCGCGAGATTGCCTACAAGAGGGTTAAAATAGTTAAGTACTCGGCTTACGTACGCACCCTTACAATTTTGAAACACTATCATTGTATTTTTCAAATTGCTAATTTTACTTATTATCTGCAATGATCGATAGGGCAAAAAATTCTTGTACGCTATCAGTGTGTAGAATTACCTTATAAAATCATCCAAAGAATACAAAAAGAAACAAAAGCAGGATTGAATCGAGGTATATATAAAAGGCGTACCTCATATGAGCTGAAGATAACTGGCTGAAGTTTCTTGATGTCAAAAGATGGAATTACGATGGCAGTTAATGTATCATGCAACTTGGTGCCCCGTAGGAGTCCCTTTATAAGTTTATGAAGATACTTCCCATCATATTTAGGTCCGCCCATTGCTTTGGTTAGATTAATCAGCCCAGCAAATGGTCCACTGCGTCCAAAATTTTTATGCTATAGAAGTCAAGATATATATATGCATCCATGGATGTAGTCTATGTGAAATAATCGCGGTACACGCAAGGTGGCCGGAGTTTTAAAAAAAATCAAGATATNTAAAATAACAAAGAAGAACAAATAGATTTGTTCAGATGGTTGCTTCCATGATGTTTATTATCAATTCAAAATTGAATCTTAAGCTCTTCAAAGACCAGTTCCATACTGATCATTGACAAATACACTATTAATAGTTTCTTTGTTTATTTCCCTCTTTATTTATGATTATCATCTTTGAGAAGACTGCATATAAATTCTATTTATGGGGAGATATCTATATAATCATATGAACTAACTCGATCGCTCTATATATCTTGTTTTAGTCTTATCATTTCTTTCGTTGATAATGGATAAAGAAGCAGCTGGATCATCTCAAGTTGCAAAGCCACCTCCCAACACAGGGACACTGATAACCATTCTCACCATTGACGGAGGAGGAATAAGAGGAATCATTGTCCCTGTGTTGGGAGGTGGCTTTGCAACTTGAGATGATCCAGCTGCTTCTTTATCCATTATCAACGAAAGAAATGATAAGACTAAAACAAGATATATAGAGCGATCGAGTTAGTTCATATGATTATATAGATATCTCCCCATAAATAGAATTTATATGCAGTCTTCTCAAAGATGATAATCATAAATAAAGAGGGAAATAAACAAAGAAACTATTAATAGTGTATTTGTCAATGATCAGTATGGAACTGGTCTTTGAAGAGCTTAAGATTCAATTTTGAATTGATAATAAACATCATGGAAGCAACCATCTGAACAAATCTATTTGTTCTTCTTTGTTATTTTATCTGTCAAGCAATTTAACTAATTAAACTTGAAAGATTGTTGGAGAATGTATTGAGTTTAAGTTAATTAATAACTGGAGTAATATTTAAGATGGGGTAAAATAATAGTAGTTAAGAACTATAGTTTTAAGTTTCTTCAGAGTACACGTTTTACCTACATCTAATTAATCATTGAAAATTAATCACCAGTCCTGGAAATTTGTTGAGCATGCGTTGGTTTCAAATTTATTGTTTCAACCGCCATATTTTTTGTTTGCAATTGTGATGACCTGATAGGTCATTTATAGTTTTACCCTTTGTTTATGTGTTTCGAGACCTCGAATAGCTCCATTTAGACTTTCTCGATTTGCGTGCGCAGTCAGTGTCCTTTTTCCGAAAGTTTTTTATGAGAAAATTAATGAAAATGTGAAATCGTGCCTTAAAACTCATTTGAGTTGACTTCGGTCAACGATTTGAGCAAACGGACCCGGATCAGTATTTTGACGGTCCCAGGGGTCCATATCGTGATTTGGGACTCGGACGTATGCGCGAAATCGAATTCGGAAGTCCGTAGCTTGAATTAACGCAATTTGTTGAAAACTAGAAATCGAAAGGTTTAAAGAATTCATAAGTTTGATCGTAGTTTGGCTTTGTTGCTACCGGATTCGGATTTTGGTTTCGTAACTTGGTATAGGTTTGTTTCAGTATTTATGACTTGTGTGCAAAATTTGGTGCGAAACAGAGTTTCTTTGAAAAGTTCATTTGTTTTGGTGTCTGATTCGTAGTTCTAGGTGTTATTTTAATATTTTGATTGCCCGAGCGAGTTCGTATGATATTTTTTTACACTTGTGTGCATGTTTGGTTTGGAGCCCCAAGGGTTCGGGTGAGTTTTGGATAGGCTACAGAGTGATTTTTGACTTAGAAGAACAACTGATGCATCTTGTTTATGGTGCATGCCTCAGAACTCACAATTGCGAGGTCAGTGTTCGCATTTGCGAAAGCCCAAGGCCTCTGTCAGGTTCGCATGCGCGAAAAAGTAGTTCGCATTTGCGATGAAGTGCTAGGGGGAAATGGTTTGCATTTACGATCAAAGTGGTCGCAATTGCGGAAGTCCAAGTTCGTATTTGCGAACAAAACCATCACATTTGCGATGGCAGCAGAGATATAGAATCTTCGCATTTCCAGTGTTCGCAATTGCGAACCCCAGGTCGCAATTGCGACATCTGCGCCTGGACAAAAGAGGGAAAAAACGGAATTTAGCTCATTTCTTTCAAACTCTCAACCCAAAACACCCTAGAAGCGATTTTCCCAAGAGATTTTCTTCCTAAATTCAGTGGTAAGTGACTTTAATCTATTTGTTTTCAATTACCCATTACATTTCATAAGTTTTCAATATTAGATCTAGGATTTTCATGGTAGAAATGAGGAATTTGGGTAGAATAAGAGATTTTTGTAGATTTGGAATTTAGACCTCGAATTGAGGTCGGATTTAGAAACAAATAACATAATCGGGCTTGGAGGTGAATGGGTATTCGGGTTTTCGTCGGAATTTCGATTTTAACCAAGCGAGCTCGGGAGTTGACTTTTGTTGACTTTTGCAATAATGATCTAAATTGAACCCCATTCACTCATGGGTAGTTTCTAAAGCTTATTTTGGATTGTTTGAACAATATTTGGTTAGATTCGAATGGTTTGGAGGCGGATTTTAGAGGAAAGGCCCTAGTTAAGCTTTGATTTGATTGTAGAGTGAGGTAAGTGTCGTGGTTAACCTTGACTTGAAGGATTAGGACTTATTTGCCTATTTGCTACGTGATTAACGTGTGGGTACAACGTACATGTGAGATGACGAGCATTTATGCGTTGTGTGGGATAAAGCATGCGGTTGGAACTTGTTTCCTTGTGATTTATTGAATCTTTATTTATGATATCTATGCTTAGATTAGATTATTACTTATTTGATCATTCCTTCCGTAATTATTTCTTAGTTGTTAATGGTTGAGTATTTTTTTGGAAGTTGAGGTTTGGTATCTTGAAATCATATTGGACGTAAAGCACATTCTCCGCACTATTTATCTCCCAAATTTACATTGTCTTTACTACATGGTAAGGGAGAGTGTTAAAGCACTAAGAGCGATGACGTGCTATTTTATTATCTCAATTATTGATTGATACATAGTGAGGAAGAGAATTAAAGCACAAAGGGTGATGTCGTGCCATCTATATCATTTATTCATTGTTACATGATGAGAAAGCACAATGGGTGATGTCGTGCCATCTATATCAATTATGTATTTCTACATGGGCAAGTCGAGAGTAAAGCACGAAGGGTGATGCCGTGCCATTTTATTTTTACTTATGTCATCATTTCATGGTAAGGATGAGGGTAAAAGCACGAAGGGTGATGCCGTGCAATCTTTATACCGTATGTTTATCTGTCCTCATTAGTTGATAATTATTTGGCTATCTTGTATTGTCATACCTGTCGTAGTTATCGTATCTTTTCCCCCTTTCGCATGTCTCCTCCTAATTGTACACTGTTAAATCTCTGTTTTGTTATTGTTGTACATATATACATGTTTAATTACGTGAGTGTCCTGTCATAGGCTCGTCACTACCTCGTCGAGGTTAGGCTCGACACTTACGAAGTACATTGAGTCGGTTGTACTCATACTACACTTATGCACTTCTTGTGCATTTAGTATTGGTCCCAGTGGTGCGTGAGGTGTGTCAGCTTGGATCATTGCATAAGAAACTTGAGGTAGATCCGCTGGTGTCCGCAGACCTTGGAGTCCCCTTCCTCTTCCCTCTTTTACTTTTCATTTCATTCGAAATAATTGTATTTATTTCAGACTCTGTTTGTAGCACTTCTAGTAGCTCGTGTATTCGTGACTCCGGATCCATGGGAGTAGATGTTATAATATGAATTATGCTGGTATTGTATTAGTTTGAATTCCTATCTCTTGCTATTTATCATCACCTTATTTTAAACTGTTAAAATTTAGCTAATTAACTATCTCACGTCGGCTTGTTTAGCAAACGGATGTTAGGCGCCATCACGACCTCGAGGTTGGAATTTTGGATCGTGACAGCAACATACATAAGGATTAAGCACGATATTTGTTTAATGAAATTTCCCATTTCATTGGGAGGGAAAGGAGAAAGCAGTAGTGATAAAATCCGCACCTGTTGTGGGCCCTCCCATAGATACTACTTATATAGGCGCATTTACTATTCCTCCTCCTCAGCTCACAAATTGCAGAACCAGCCAACCAGCCAACTTTCTTTTGCAATTCCCTTCTTTTTTTTTTTTTTTTTTTTTTACGAGTTAAATTATATTCTATTTATATTCAATTCCTTTCTTTACTTAAGATTATAAACTAGTCACCCTTTTCTTTCTTTCCTTTTTAAAGCCTTTGTCAGAGGTGTTGTACTTCTCTTATATTTTCGAAAATTTAAATAGCTTGTAGTGCAAGTAGAGTAGAATTAGATGATGCACGACGAAGCTCAAAATAACGAGAATGAAGGAGAAAAGTCAAACAAGAAAACCTGGTTAAAAAAGATTTGTATTTATCACAAACGAATGAATGTAAGATATATATTTTTTGCATATGAACTTTTATCACTTAATCATAATTAAGTGATATATATTCTCACCAAGGGCAGGTGTAGACTATTGGTCACTGGTTCATCTGAACTCTATACTTTTAACGTGAAGTATAAATTTACTCAAATTGTAACAAATAGTAGCCCATAACTTAAAAAACTAAGGAATTCAATGCTAAAAATCATAGTTTAACCCATAAAGCTTTAAATTCTGATCTATATCTGATACTCACTTTAATATATGAGTCTTACAGCTAACTTGATTGACTTAAGCATCTATGAAGGACTTTTGAATTCTTAGTTGTGAAGTACGATCCAAAAGATTCTTTCTTGATCCAGCTAATTATAATAAGATGTCAACTAATTATTTTATGAAGGTTTTGGAGGTGAAGCACATTTTGCTTCATACTTTAATGAACAAACATATCGTATTAGTTTATTCAAGATATATATACTTAATTTGCACGTTATTGCCTATTTGCCTTTGAAATATTTCTGTTCCTCGCCCTTTATTATTTTCCATTTTTTATTTCTCTATCATGCTTCAGAGTACTTTGAAAAAGCAAAAGATAAAACAAACACTGCATTTA